AAACCGATGTCCTGTGTCACTGCTCAATTGCTGTCGAGTAAAGGCCAAAATTGCAGAAATATTGGTGGCGTCCACCGATGAATCACCACCGTGCATCTGTCTTGAAAGCATCGGAGATAATAACTTCACAACACATTTTTGCTATACTTTTATATTTTGTGCTCGTGTCTTCTCAAATGAAAATGGAAGGTATCTAAAATCTTCGGTACACAACTTGGTCTGACAAATAAAAAAGTGTAGTTTACTTTTACTATTTTGCAAAGCTTTTAAATATTTGACTTTTATTTCATTGCAAAAAATCTATTAATTAATCAAGCATACTCATACAACAATAATAGTATACATGAACAATCAAATTTACCGATTTTTGTCTCATCCACATTCTGAAAACTAATTAACTATTCGAGTCTTTTGCCAGTAAAGTACAGATGATAACAAAGAAAGTTTTTAAAAAATTGAACATACTGTAAATCGCGCGAAAAATTTATCTGCATGTCCTAAATAAATCACCTTAATTTCCCCTACCCTTTCAATAAATTTTAAAAAACGACTTCTAATGTTACAGAATAATTTTTTGTGCAAAATTGAATACAATTATTCTTAACACTTTATAATTGTTTTGTCAAAATAGACATCAACCTGGTCGAAACTGTTGTAAAATATATGCGAGACATTTTTCATGGGATGAAGTACGGTGCCCACCTTTTTTCCTGATATTTTTTAAGACGCGATCAAAAATAAATATTAGGGGTGGCAACGAATATTCGAACATTCGAATATTCATTCGATGAGTTGATATTCGAATATGAATTTAAGATTCGAATATTCGGTGTTTTTCAGATTTCGTAAAAAGAAGTACTGTGATTAATAAATTTTGATTAGAACAGTGCTGGAATTATCCCTGTTTAATTTACTAACGATCAATTTCGATCGCCTGATTTCTTTCACTACTTTCTTATCTTATAGATCTACTAAATTACATGTATTTTGTTTTAAGTAAGGTGTTAATGAATTGTACAATAATGCTTTATGTATAATACAAAACGTACTTTCATAGTTTTTATTAGTTAGATACTATCGGATCTAGAATCAAGGACAACAAAATGAAAACCTTCTTAGAATGTCTAAAAGACGCGAGGAGTATACTTTTCAAAATAAATTTAATTGATCATTGAATGAATGTCCGATAGAACTAGTCTGTATTCAATATTGCTCAATTTCAGCATAAATGTGTAAATTACTCGTCAATGATTATCTCGGGTTGTACATAATTCTAAATTTTATATTCATTATCGGGAAATTAGTTAATTACCTAGGAAAATTGTCTATGGAAATATTTGTTTACATTGTATCAAAGATTATAATAATATCTCTTATTAGGCAGATAACTGTAATTCATTACATGTATTGAAATCTGAAAAGTACACCGTTACGACTACATCTCGCCTTTGGTAAAACGACTGGTTCCTCAGTTGGAGCCACTATAAATACACATGTTTCCTTTGTTAAAATTATACTTTTCTACATTGATATCAATTATTTATTTCAAACATTGACAAATATCAAATGAAATTCCTTATTGTACACCTACAAGTCTTCATACAATTTTACTTCCAATATAAGTATACCTACGCTAAACCTTTCATGAGAGTAGGATGATGCATTATATAAATTAAACAGATTTTATTTATTTTATCGAATATTCGAATATATTCGAATACTTGCATTGAATATTCGAATATGAATTACTGACAAAATTGACATCCCTAATAAATATCATATCATACATAAGTTCTGATATCTGATATAACTTTCCATTTTTGTTATGTTAAAATATTATTTTATATACCGATAGAGGGGATGTGTCTAAAACATAACAAAAATGGGAATCCCCCCCCCCCCCGAAATTATCGTGTTTTAATTTTTTTTTAGAAGGTGTGTGCGTGGAGGGGGGGGGGGGCATCCACACGAATTATCGTTTCTTTAAAAAACTGTACATATTCAGACATAGAAACTTCTTTTGTTCTCTCTTTAATTTTTCTTCTTTCTTTTCCTTCAGTTAAAGTAGAAAAGTTTATATATGCGTAATTTAAAAAAAAAAACAAGACGTAAATTGTCTAAAAGATAATAAAATAAGCACTGAAGTTTGGCGAGCTTCCAATAGTTACACATGGTACATACATCCTTGAATTAAAACTGCACTCTGACGATTGCGCTTTTAACAAACAAAAAGTATACATGCATTCATTTGTACAATGTAGATACTCTGTAGGCTAAAAATAAAATATCAGTAGGTAAAATAACCTTTACTATGGCCAATAAGAGCTCAGGGAGAGGAAGACACGTCACGTGCTAGACAAATCCTCATCTGGAGTTTTTCATGCAATAATGAAATGCCGTGTGGAAGCAGGTGTTGTTTATTTGCATAGTATTCTATATACCCAACGTCATCGCAACCTTTCTGTTGTGACCAGCTTTCTGGCAAAATGCTAACAAACAAGGATATATATGACGTAGCATCATTTTTAGCTCACCTGAACCAAATGGGCTTTTCTGATCTCCTGTCGTACGTTGTTCGTCTGTGAGTCAGTCTGTTCACTTTTCACGTTTTAGACTTCTCCAGAAACACTGGACCATTTTCAACAAATTTACCATAAAATTAAGCATCCCTGGGTTAAGTGGATTCAAGTTTGTCAAAATAAAGTGTCCTGTCCTCTTTAAGGGGAGATAATCAAGAAAAGGTAAAAATAGGGTGTATGTCTTAAAAATTTTCTGAAGAATCACTTAGCCAGAAATGATGAAACTTGTATGGAAGCTTCCTGACATAATGTAGATTTACGTTTGTTCAAACCAAGGCCCCCTGGAGTAGGGTAAGGCCACAATGTGGAACCAAATTTTACATGTGAATAAATAGTTGTTTTTGTTTTTTTTTTAAAGTTAATGAAGATTCAAATTTATTCAAATCTTGACCATGGGAATAAGGATGATGGGGCCATAATGGGACTAGTCATATTAATATGGAAGCATCATCACGTATTGTAGATTCAAGTTTGTTCAAATCATGGCCCTGGGGTAAAGAAGGGACCACAACAAAAGATCAAAATTTTGCAAGGGAATATATATAGTGGAAAAAGGAAATCTGCTGAAATTGTATAGGGATTCGACCTTTACATGAAAATGCCCATACAAAATACTACTCATGCTAAAACGAGGAAATAAACCATATGTACACACTATACACTTGATCCGTTTCTGGTCACACTGTCCAGTGTCTGTTCTAGCAAGGGAAAGAGTGAATCTGAATCTGGAGACTCAATTAATGTTTCCGGTTTCCTTTTCATTCATCGAGCAACTCATTCGAGTACGTGTCCAGTGGGTAATCTAAGAAATAAATTCTTAAATTCATTGATCCATTCATAGACCCCCTTTCCTCGCGTCTTTAAACTGCCATGGGTATTAATTTGCACTTAATAACGTATCTATAACAAGCAACATAGAAAAGATGCTGTTTTGCGTTTGTGAAGAAAAGATGTTGTAGATAACTAGATATACATATTTGATACAGATCTGACATCGCATCAAAATGTGACCTATTTCTTGAACTGTGTGTTCTGGGAAGTACAACAGTAGTTACACAGCTTCCACATTTATAACAACAACAACAACAATAAACAACAACAACAACAACAATAATAATAATAATAATAATAATAATAAAATAATTCATTAACACAGTAATAATGGGCAATGATTTATATTATACATGTATATGTCAAATAGATCGAAGAAAGCCATACAGAAAATGTAGGGTTCAGACATGGAGAAAAGTATCTATTAAGAAAAAGATTCTATAATAAACTACTAGTAAATATGTATGTGTAATAGATGGGACATGTATTTTCTTAGCAAATGTACATGTAAAAAAAAATCTAAATCTTTGAAAATTCTATAGAAAAAAAGAAAAAGAAAAAAAAAAAAGAAAAGAAATCAAATTTTATATGGAACACCAAATCAACATATTTTCAGTCATTGTGATTATTGGAAATTATTTAAGAAGCATTTTTTTCATTGCATGATAAAACAAACAAGGGCACCGCAAAGCGGAACGTCCCCTCTCTAGGAGCATATCTTTAAATCAAGACAGCATTCGATATTGATCCCGATGTAAATTACGTCACTTCCGTTTCGCACATCACTATCTAGCACACTCACAAACACACAAGCGTGTTACTATATCCCCTCCAACTCCGTTGCGAGGGGATAAAAATGAATGCTTGGAAAATTCAATATAGACAACTAGCTGCTTATACCTTATTCTACCTCAAGAGAAGGCTCAAAAACCATATACATGTATAATTATACTGCATGTAGTATTATTAACTGAATCTAACATCATCTTAATTAAGAAAGCTCTAAACACTAAGAAAAGATTTTATCTTGGACTTTGACGAAATTGATTTATATTATCTTGTATATACTAAGTTTATGTAGTTAATTTTCAACGTAGGGTACCAGCCATATATTTCTCCAGAAAATTGTTTAAAGACGTCGAAGCATTAGTGTACAGAAATCACTGTTGTTTACCTACATTGGGAAAATACATGCAAATAAAGTATTCACTTACATTATCATAATCTAATATGTCGTTAAGAATACTTCAGTTTTCTCATTTATTCAATCTTACATCAAAGGGCAGATCACTGTAACTGCAAAAAAATACCATGGAATTAGAACTCTTTAGTGAGCAGCGGTTAGAGCTTCCTTAACCCAAACGATAGTTTTGATACATGTATAGATATTCATTAACCTCTCCCCTTTTCGTGCAAATACTTTATTTTTAAAAAATACAGCTATTTGAAGAGCTCTGCAGTTACTGAATATGTGTTAATTTGGTGTTCCATAAAAACAGCCCTCAACTAAGAGGGATGTTCCGAGTATATCGATTCCATTTTCCCTCAGCCGTTGAGTGGGAAGGAACTCGCGTTGCTTTACCCACTCTGATAAAACTAGAATAACAAGGAAATAATAAAATGAACGAAATTGAGAGAAATAGCGAACTTATAAGTGAAAAGGAATGTTTAGAGGAAAAAGAGGTATGTGTTCAGTTACTTTTATATTTGTTTTGTGAATGGTTTTCTCTATTGATCACTGAGCGGCGTGCACTTTCAGAAGAGTTCTTTATCGGCACTTTAATAATACCTGATTATAATAATTTATGGGGATTCTCTTTGTTAACGATTTCAAGAGAGACAAAAAGAAAAAAGTTATAGTTTCAATAGCTGATAGTGTATAATAAAATACATCGCACATGTTGTGTCACGAATAGGGAACTTGTAATTTGATCAGTTTAAATTTCCTTCTAAATGGAAATACTTATCATTCAATGCATATCAAAAAAATTTTGAGATTGGAAAACCCATTTAAGGTTTGTAAAAATAAAAAGAAGGAAAAAAATCAACAGAAAGAATGGATAATTGAAAAGCTGTTTCATTGTTTAAGCTGTGTTTTTAATACAACATATGTGGAATAAACTCGCCTCTTAATTTTCGAAAAAAAAAATGTTTTACGTGTAAGAAAAGCCAAACAAAGGAATTAAAAAAGCAGATTTAATTACAGAAAGCAATGATTGATAGTGATGAATCTGTTTCTGCTGGAAGCAGCGGAAGGTCAGAGAATGGGGATGAAAATGTGGGTCGGGGCAACTGGTCAGGTCGCCTGGACTTTTTCTTGTCCTGTGTCGGTTACGCTGTGGGACTCGGAAATATTTGGAGGTTCCCGTACCTATGTTACCAGAGCGGCGGAGGTATGGGGAAGCTTAATCTCAGAATTTTGTGTCTGAACAAATATTACGTATGGAAAAAAAACACGTTTAAAAAAACAAAATGCATTTTTATACATTGGAATAAAAATCAAGAAATTAATATCATTTCTCAAGAATTTTATTATTATTATTATTTTTTGTTAACAGGGGCTTTTCTGATCCCATATGTGATTTTCCTTGTGTTGTGTGGAATTCCATTATTCTTCTTAGAAATCAGCTATGGCCAGTTCGCCAGCTTGAGTCCTATCACGGTGTGGAAAATGTCGCCACTATTTAAAGGTTAGTATCACAAACGAACACTTCATTGTCTGGTACTGAAAACCTGAACTCGATGAATCATGTCTGGGGGAATTTGAGTGCAGAACAATGGCCTATCGCCACGGAGAGATTTTGTTATTAGACAAAGTTGGTAACTTTACCCTATTCTTTGAATGACCATCTTGATAATGAGGCATTTGTTTAAAGACATGCCTTCTCGAACACCGATTCGTTCAAGTTCGGAAATGGCTTAATTTATTCCAGACGTAAGCCTGATAAAGCGGGAAATTGAAGTGACGAACTTAATTCTATTCGTTTATATCTTCGACACATGTTCTGTGTGTAAAAAAGATGGCTTGGCTAAGTATGATACTACAACAATTAATAGTTCATCACCCTTTTCCCGCCTAAGTTGGTATGAAAATCTGATTAGATTACACATGATAAGCTTGTCATGTTTCCACGAATAGCCTGTTAAAAATAGTTATAGGAAAAACTCAAGATTCTAACCCACCTGTTAGTGTTGCTCAAGAATAAAGAATAGTTCAATATATACGTATGTTTTTTGAATTTTTAATCAGTGATGTTGGATTATGGAAACATAAATGATCCCGGTAATATTTGAATAGGCATGCATTTTAAGAAATGAAAACATGCCATTCGTTTTAGGAATCAATCGGGTGTAACCCCCCCCCCCCCCTCCGCACACCAGATCATAAGTATTACTGTTTTCAGTACAATTATACCTGCGGGTCTGTTAAATAAATCAATCTAGTTAGACCTCTTTAGTGTAAAAACAAGGTAAACTTGTGTAAAGTTATCACGTATGATAAATATATCTGATTATTTTTCTAAGAGTGTCAAACAACTATTTTAATAATTGTAACATTAAAAAAATATATATTCCAAAGCTGAAATCGGACAGAAGTTAATTAAGTGGGAATCTATCCAAAGATACAGTGCATGCTTACTCATTATAAACATACAACAAGTATTAGCTTTCCTAAATAGCTTGTCTGACTTGAGCAAATTTATTTTTACGTGAAGAATCAAGAAAAGTTAAATCCAGTGTAATCTACGTGACTAATGAAACGAATTCTTTTGCTAAGAAACAATAAAAGTTTAAATCAGTGGCATCAGCATAAATTTAAACTTGGACATGAATTTATTCCATATACACTATATTTATACTTGTAATTTCCTTTTTTTATGGACGTAGGGTCCGGCCGCCGGGGTAGGGGGAGTGCCCCCCCCCCCCCCCCCATTTATGCCGATTTATACATAGCTATATTTTATGATTGGGTCTCCTATAAATCATGTAATTTATATTTAACTTCTGATAACTTGATAGTGTCCATCTTAAACTGAAAATTTCTGAAATTTCTTCCAACGGGCCTGTTCATGGATAAAAAGATATAACCAGTGCTTTTGAAAGAAAAACTACAACACATAAAAATCTAAACATCAATTGGACAATGGTGAACAATTTTGATAATTAAGAAATGTTTTATTTAAAAAAATTATAAACGTGTTACAAATGAGCTAACATCTTTGCATTTAGCAAAAGAATATTCAGCATATATCAATCACTTTAATATTTTTTACTATGAATAAATGAAACGTCTGCAATTTATGAATATGTGTAGATTTATAAAAATTCTGAAGATAGAGAGACTCTGTATGCATTGTAAATAAACATCCATTAGTTAATCTGATAAAGATAATCGACAAGTGTTGACCTGACCAGCTTCATTCATTTCTGTTTTGCTGGACATGAATGATGCATTCGAGAATGGCCAAATGTTATGCAACCTGTAATGTATAATGTGATAATAATGACATATCAGCTCCAATGCTCTGGCTTGTTGTTTGGGTGTTTAGCATGTTTCCCTTACTCTTCATGCTCTCCAGTTGATAGTTAAGATAGTATGAAGTTTCCAAGATCAAGTTATCACAAGAATTCTATTGAACGACTTGACTAACAAGCCTTGGCTAAATCTAATACTGTCTGACGCCATGACGTCAGACAATAATGTACTTCTCAACTTTTGTAGACTAAACAAACTACTTTTGTGTAGAAATCCATCATTATGAAGTATTCTTTTCAATATTGCGTATAGATCATTACGATTCTTTCAAAACGTGTGAAAAAATTAGTCGCTGTGGTAAAATATTCATTAAATTTTGTCAATGTTACATCAATAGAGAGGGTCTCACCCCGCTAGTTTTTGTTATCAGAGGTCAGTTACCACTGATCTTCCCAACCGAAAGTTCCACTGTGAGTAATTATATGAAAAGTGTTAATCATCCAGGGGGATATAAACAAATTAGTTTATATCGCCAATCTGAACTCACGAGTGAAGCCAGATGGATGCTTCGTTGGAGTGCGTGAGGCTCACACTATTCGGGGCAGCTGTTGATAAATAAACACGAATTTGGATCCGATCGGTTTGGTTTACAGTTGAACATGCTGACCCAGTTTTGACGTGGATACATGGGATGACCGTGATGAAAGTGATGATCAATACATTTATAATGATAATTTATAAAAACAATACTTTAACAAATAACAGTACACTGAATATTTTTGTAGAAATTTAAAAAAAAATGTCACAATATATTCACAGTACTGATTTTCGGTTCCCAATTTTCTAACTCACATCACGCTAGAATAATATGCATCTTCTTGGCAAGGAGATGGGTGAACATGACGAGCGATAAGCCTATAGTGTGACAAACATGAAGATGAAAAATTAAATTTCAATTATATCAAAATTTTCCTTGATATTTCGTCTAACATTAAATTATATTTTATGTAAAATCTCTATAATTTGCAAAAATCTCTCAAAGATTGAAATTATATGCCTGTGAAATATTAGACACACACTAAAGCGGGCAAAAAGAGTCATTTTCTCATACTATAATACTGTTTTTCGATATGAGTGGGTCTTTGCTCCACTTTTTTGAAAATTAATCCTCAAATTTTGCATAAAAATATACATTTTTTGGTTACCAAAAATATGGAGCAATGACCCACTATACCTTAAAAATATACTTTTATGACATAGCATTCGCATCTTTTCGAGAAATACTTGAAGTCCATTAAGTCAAGGGTCATATCACAAACATGATTTAAATGCCACTATTCATCAGAACTTGTGTAGTCTAGTGGTTAGCGTGCTAGTCTCGAAAGAAAATAATACTCAGGATTTTTATTGCTAGGGTTCGAACCCACGAATACCGCATTAATTTTTTTAATAAAAGAATAAATTTTGTCGAGAAAATTTTCATCAGAAAAGTTTTGTTTATCATAATTTCATAAATTTCAATAATGAGAACTTTACTCTAAATACTAAATTCACAAACTGAACATGATTTTTATATATCTGAAGCTATAGGCTTTCTGCACGCTATGTTCGCCCATCTCCTTTCGATAATTTAACCATGCGGTCTGTCCCCATTGTTCACGGTGGGCAGAAGGAAAAATTAAATGTGAACAATTTTTAAACACTATATACAATGTATATAAGATTATTAAATACCGTTGTCTTTAGAGGTGAAGCATTACATTGGCCTAACCAGTGTAACTCTAACTGCAACATACTTGTAATTTCAATCGAGATCGGAATTCCTCAAATGATTTATATATTTTGGCGGTAAATTCGAATGCGAAAGTAGACAGAATACCCAGGCGAAAGCCTGTTCACCTCTCTAAAGAGAATAAGATTCCCGTCGGTCTAGAGTGCAACCCCTGGTTGGGACAGAAGTGAGTATCCTTAAAGTGAATTTCTCTATGCTTTCCATATTTATTAATATCTCTTCACGAGAGACAGTTATGTTAGTGTGAGAGTTCTTGACATATTGTGTATTAATCTGTTGAATGTGTTTTAAAAATAAAATTAATTCTAATGTGTTATCGCTTGGGCTGTGGATATTGGCCTGGGTAGCTCAGTTGGCAGAGCACCTGACTAGTGATGCAGGGGTCCCGTGTTTGATTCCCGTCCGGTCATACCTTTTTCTCCCGTATCATTACAGTTGCAATATCATGGTTCTCTGGTTGTGAAAATTCGGACAGCCAAACCAGTAATACCCTGGCAGAGAGCTACGGATCTAAGAATTGTATAAATTAACCTTTAATTTTTTGTCGCTCGCTTAGCAGGTCTAGGCGGCCTCTGTTTTTGGAGGATAGATTTTATCCTCTAAAAACAGAGGATAGAGGTGTCGCCACCTACCGGATTTTTCAAAATAAAGGGCAGTTAACTCTTAACCAAACAAATAACAGCAACTCTTGCATTTATCAGTTTATGAACCGTAACAAATAAAACGTGTAAAATTTCATGTGATGATGGATATATCTAGATATTAAATCAATATAACATAATTTATTTTGTAAATGCTGTCAATCAATTATTTAGTTTTAATTAAACTTTAAAGGTTAGTTAACAACGATTACCCTTACCTGTCTGAGACGTTAATTATTACCAAGCCGATTTTCCTGTACCGTAATTATGTGTAAAATGGTTTACAAATGTTGATAAATATTTTTTTTTTTTTGAAAAATTAAGTTTAAGTATTACCAGTATTTCATTTAATGAATAATCCTGAAACACATCATTTTTGTAATATTTTGTTTTAATTAGTTTATTATACATATGTATGTACATGTATATAATAATGTTAATTTCTTAGTAAACATGTTCAATTATCTATTTTATTTATTTATATGCTTTTCAAATAATTTATTTATTTTTTTTATAATATTATTTATTTATCTGCTAATTTATATTCATTCATTGCTTAAATTATAAGACAGAGTATATTTTGTGTTTAAAATATGTGTCCTTATGTGTTTCTTTTTTTCTTCATTTTTAAATTAAGAGAAAATATGAAAGTAATATTATTTAAGTCCCTTTTTATTTGTCTTGATAGGGAAAAGCATAAAAATATAACAAAATGCCAAGAAATATTAAGTAAAAATGGAGTGCAAGAAGTGCCAACTTTGAAAGCGTATTGTAAAAATT